ACACACACACACACACACACACACACACACACACACACACACACACAGACCCAGCCTGACGGTCTCTCCTCTCAGGACACTCCACAGCTCCGTCCGGCTCCTCCTCACCGTCGCCCCCTCTGGTCCAAAAGGTGAACTGCAGCCGGCTCTGTCCTCAGTCACAAACTGGTCCTGGGTCAGATCTGAGCAGAGACACTTCAACAGGTCCAGGAACAGAGACACCTGATGAAGACCAGAGATCTGTGGTTATTGATATTATATATTATATATTATATTATGTTATATAATATTATATTATAGACACCTGATGAAGACCAGAGAGGAAGACTCCTAAAAACACCTGTATTAGTATTATTATATATTATATTATTATTGAGCAGGTGATCAATATATTGATAACTCACTGACATATTAATACATGTGTATGCTTTTATTTTAAACATTGAACATAGTATTAAATGTTATTCTATGTTATTTAAATTGTATTGTTTCATTTATATGTATGTATGTGTAGTATAAACGATTAAAATGTTTAATCACAATTAATCGTATTATGCACAAAGTTCAATAATGAATTCAAAAGTAGTGTATTGTGCACTTTTATTTTAAAGTGCTGCTATATGAACAACAGGTCAATAACATTTGGTTTAAACACTTTAAACACATCAGGTTGTTGTTAGCAGCAGTATTCCCTTTACACAGCAGTAGTTATAACACAGTTATAATGATTCTGATCATAGATATTCAGCCGGTGTTCATAACTTTATCTTCATGTGTGTAAGAGATGATATTTAAATATAATTCTTGAAAACTGCAACCCTATCTACATCATGTTTTTATGTTTGTTAAATTCTCAGTAGTGATACTAAATGATGCTTATTATACATATTACACACAAAACACTTTAAAAACTCTAAAACAATAATTTAAATGAATCATTTCTTTTTTGCTTTTTTGTGGTATTGTGGTCAGACACATAACAACGCTGATTACCGTAATATGTGTGGTATTTGTTATCAATGTACGTTGGTACATAGAAGGTGATAAGAAGCTGTACATGGAGGGACTTAGGACCCAGGGGAGTGTAGGTGAAGGAAACAGGAAGAGACGCCACACAAACAGCAGTTCACCGCTCACTGACGGTTCTTGTGTTAAAAATGTCGTTTAATAATAAATAAAAAACTGCGTTAACACGCGATAATAACGCGTTAACTTGCCCAGCACTAATATTTATATATTTTTAAATCATAATTAAATTCATACACATTACATCAGCATCGATACACTTATGTGCATTTTTACTTATTTTAAATGTATTATTTTATGTCTAAATTTCAGCATAATTCATGAAAACACATCTTCACAAAAAGAGAGAGACAGACAGAGGGACAGAGAAACAGGGAGACAGACGGACGGAGAGACAGACAAACAGGGAGACAGACGGACAGGTACCTTGATGGGCGGAGCTCCAGAGTCCAGGCCCAGGTAGGTGCAGCCGTCCAGAGGAGGAGTGACGTGAGTCTGAAGTAACTTCTCTGATACGGACCTGCTGAAGAAGACCGGACCTGAGACCTGAAGACAGGGAGTACTTTAGACTACTTTGGATACTTTAGATTACTTCAGATTACTTCAGATTACTAGAGATTACTTTAGATTACTGTGATTTGGTTAAAAGTCTTTCCGTCTTCAGAGGGTGATTTACTACCCAGGACGCACCAGAGGTACTTTCCCATCATGCATCACTGCCTGTAGGATCTGCTCCTGTGTCCCCCTGTAGACGATGTCTCTGACCCGACCCTGTGACACGAAACAAACGCACCTTCAGACTGGATTCATGTTGTTAGAGTGAAAGAAGTACATAAACAACAAATACATAAACATAGCATAAATATACTTTATTAATAATTATAATAAAAACCTGTTGGTCCGACAGGTAGACACCGTGATTGGCTGCGTAGGAGGCGTCGCCCGGCAACGCCAGAACCCGAACTCCAGAGAACCTGTCCCAGGACAGACCTGCACACAGAGAGTACTACTAGTACTACTAGTGCAACTAGTACTACTACCCAGGACAGACCTACACACAGAGAGTACTACTAGTACTACTGCAGTACACATAGTACCCAGGACAGACTTACAGACAGTAAGGAGTACTACTGTAGTACTAGTATTACTTCTTATACATTTAATATTTACACTCTTATTGTTTTTTATTATTCTTCGATCTGAAGGTCTGAACTCACTGAAGTCCGGAGGGATGCTGAGGATCATGTCGGTGCTGCAGACCCAGACACCAGGAGGAGAACCGGAGCAGATCTGGGTCCCGAGGCGGTCCAGCAGGAGGTCCAGACAGCAGACCGGAGCCTGGACTCGCTGGTCCGGTCTCTCTGGAGCCGGCAGCCAACAGAAGGCTCGGCTGCAGGAGCTCCACGGGAAGTCTCGACCCTGGAGGAGAAAGAGAGGAAACACTGAAACATCTGGAGAACCTGGACCCGAACCTGAACCTGAACTGGCTGCTGGACTCACTGAGTGGAGGATGAGGATGTGAGCTTCATCCAGGACGTCAGCCGTCACCACCTGAAGAAGAGGGAGGGAGAGAGAAAGAGACAGAGAGAGAGAGAGAGA